AATATAGAAAGAAGGCTCGTTGGAAAATTGATTTTTACTCGTGAAGTTTCGAGCTGGTGACACAAGTTCTTCCTCAGCCGGAATGAAAGTGAGGGCTGGGATTGTAGCACTAGAGGGTTTGGGCGCAGAGGTCACATCGAACAGGGGTGAGGGTGACGTGAATACTACTGCGATACATATATGCATATATTACTTACCATTTTTAAGAAGCACAAATTCGATATGGGGATATTTACAAAGTCCAAACGAGGCAAATGTCAATTTAGAAGCCAACTGAACCCCAAGTCGAAGTTCACGAGTTTCATTTGCTCTCTTTACACCATTTACTGTTAAATTTTTTTTACTATAAAGCAAACTAACGAAAAGGAAGATAAATATTCCTGACGATTTCTATATTCCACGTTTGGAAAAAATATCGCGCATGTTTAAAAAAGCATTCGTAAGTTATCGCGGATTGTCAACTGTGTTTTGGTCTGTTTTTTCTTATTGCAAACAAAACTTTTCTGGTTTATGGATCATGAGTATAAGTAAATTATCTTCTACAACTGCACAGTGCTCACGTTTTTGTATGTGTGTTCACGTAAGATGTCCTAAAGAAAAGTCCTGAAATTATTGTTACCAAATGTGTCAAAGCCATTTAAAATAAATGTATATGATGTGGATTTAACTTTAGTCGATCAAAGTTCGCTAAATTTTAAACAGTCGATGTTTAAATTGTCTAGTTTCTATTGTCATAGTACATTATAGAATGTTTGCAATATTTCGGTCTTGTTTAGAAAAAATCCTACTGCTTCTTTTTACTTTTAGACAGTTTCACTAGTCTTTAAAAAAATAGACCATATTGAGTACGTTCTTCTTCGTTAATGTATTTTTTATTCACCTGTGAAATTGAAGTACCGTGAGAGTCTCATGGAAATCCATTGGAAATCAGCAGATTTTATTTCCAAAGGAAATAGCAATCGGAGAAGTTTACAGCTGTCCTCCTCCAGATTTTCTATTTGACTGAGATTCACGAGTTTCAAACGTTTAGAGTTAGGTAAAAAGTGGGCTTACGACTTCATCCAAATTCACTGAATATTTTGAGTTAAGTCGTCGAAACTGGGTTTGCCAACAGGTCCATCTAAGAAGTTGCATTCTTACAGTTAAAAAACTGCTATTTGTACATATCGGGCACAAAAATTTGTCCCACCGTCCCAGAAAATGGTAAATGTATCTCAGACATTTTTGGAAGAAGTGTCATCTATGTCATAGTCGGCTGCAAATAATATTCTTGTCAAAGCACAGCAAAATCTATACATAGTACTTAATAATTCGCATTTTTCCTATGCCCACTGATATATCTTCTGAGCTTCATTTCGGAGCCGTCTTCAGATGTCATATGAAAAAGATTTTATAAGCGAGAATTTTTATTGATAAGGTTAAGTCCAGGTTTAATAAGGAAGCATAATGCGCCATTAATTTTGTCTCGGTTGTTGAATTCGACTCTTTTGCAATATGAGTGACCCATTTGGTTTGACGAATTCATTTTCAATCTATCCGTATTAATGATAATTCGAGTCATTCAGTCCCATCCTCTCATCTTTCATATTTTATTAGGAGCACACAGAGTACCAGGCCAGTGGTCACTAGAAAACTCAGTCAGCTCCATCGCGATCAAAAGAAGGCGGAAAGTATTATATCCGAGGGAGAGGTAATGCTAATCGTCAATAACAAAAATCAACGGAATTATTTGTAGGAAATGTTCCAGCATATAACTGAATTGCTTTTATAACTGATTGAACTATGCAGAAACTATCAATGTCCCAGTTATAAAGTAATTTGTGTTTATAACTCACCACTCAATGTCTGAAAGAAGCAAGCAAGTAATAAGCATGGAACGTTCTTGCTCACTTGCTTGAAAAAAAAAGATTTTCATCTCTGTATAATTTTGCTTTGTTTATAAATGGGAAGAAACCGATCCTCTTGTATTTCCACCTGTGTGTGTTCGACCATCGATTTTTATGAAGTCTACTAAGTGCACCAACAGGTCGGTAGCAAGATTACAGTCTCAGGGGGTAGTTTAAGGTGATAGAGGACGTAGTTGGCGCCAACTCCCCTCTTCACTTTCGCCCGGGGTTAAGAAGACCAAACGGAACATGGCGTTGGCTGCTTTACCCAATGCAAGCTAGAAACACCGCCTAACTTAGCGCTAAGTAACAGTAGACTTTGCGCGGGTGCTACTGCACTAGCTACCCTCACTCACTCTTAGTAGGTGCGTAGACAGGCTTAAGGAGGCCAAGACTGATACGGTTACTACGATTTCTACTACTAGTCAGATTCAATGCAGCCGAGCCTTAGTAGTACTAGTACTATTTCTGACGCTAACATATGTCAAAAGTGACGCTGATTTGGAGTTAATGCTGGAGCTCTTTTGCGCGGGTACTACCGCAGTATTCACCCTCACTCACTTTCAGATATCAATACAGGCTCAAGGAGGCCGAGCGGGATACGGCTACTCCCATTTCTACTACTACTACTACTACTA